GGGAGCTGCTGCTGTTCGACACGGCGTTCGTGTCCGCGCCCATCGACGGCAGCAAGGACGGCTTTCCTTTGGGGGGGAAGCAGGGTGAGGAGGAGGAGGGGGAGGAGGAGGGGGAGGGGGAGGGGGAGGAGGAGGGGGAGGAGGGGGAGAAGGAGGAGGAGGAGGAGGAGGAGGAGGAACAGGAGGAGGAGGTTCACTTGTCGTTATCCAGGTGGCTGCGGTAACTCCATCACCGTGCCAGAGTAGCATTCCGTGTGACGACACTGTGATGGTTTTTGTATTCCTTGTTTTTACCGATCGGCGCGGGCCCTCGCATCCCCCACCTCTGGAGCAGATCTTGGCTGTTTTTGGTTCCTGTTCAAGGCAGGTGGACCCCATAATGGACGCACTGTTGCAAACCGTTGCGCTGAGTAGAGGTCTGGAGCCAGACCCCTCCCCCTTACCCCCCACTTTTGCTCAATGTCGAAACGCCGATCCAGACCCCGCCCAGAAGGCCGGCACATGTGACATCTCCCGTGTCCGCTCCTTGAGGTGCTCTCATGGGAACTATTTGGGCCGTCGTGAGGCAGTCTTGAGCTGCTGTGGGGCAGTCTTGGGGGTCCCTCGCGGTCCTCTTGGGTTGTCTTGGCGCCATATTGGGCCGTCTTGTGGCCCTGTTGAGCTGCCCTCTCAGGCCGTGTAGGGTTCCCATTGCTTACTGTGTTTGTTGTTGTTTCTTTATTTTTCTCTCTCTCTCTCTGTCTTTTTTTTTTTGTTTCTCTCTCTCTCTCTCTCTCTCCCTCTGTATATAGATGTATATATATATATATATATATAGATATGTAGGTGTGTATGTGTGGTCAACCCCTCCCCCAGCATCCCCCTACTCCAACCGCTGCTTGTTCTCCCCTCTATCTCTCCCTTTCCCTTTTTTCTCTCTGTCTCTCTGTCTCTCTGTCTCTCTCTCTCTCTCGTTGTCCTTCCCCCTCCTCTTGCTCAGGAGGGCTTGCGAGAGGAGCGCGGCCACCAAACCCTAAGATTTGGGGCCAGGGATACCGCCAAACCCTACTATACACAAGTTGCTATTGGGTTTCTTGGTTTTCAGGATGCCTGCAAGCTTGGCCAGGAAGGCTTGCGGGAGGAACATGCCCACCAAACCCTACTCCACACCGTTTTCCGTTTTTTTTTGGTCAGGGATACCACCAAACGTTAATATACATTGTTTGTGGTTTTCCTGGAGGCCCACTGATTTTGGCCAGGTTTTTGGACCTTCTGGAAACCGAACCAACCAGAAACACCCGTGTATCGTAGTGCTTGGTGGCATCACCGACCCCCCCAAACACACGTGCATAGTACGGTTTGGTGGGCATGCTCCTCCCGCAAGCTTTCCTGGCCAAAAGTCTGCGGGCCTCCAGGGAACCAAAAAACATAAGCAAACAAACAAATACTGTGTACAGAAGGGCTTGGTGGTATCATCTGGAGGGCTTGCGAGAGGAGCACGGCCACCAAACCCTCCTATACTGAGTTCTTTAGAGGTTGCTTGGTCAAGGATACCACCAAACCCTACCACACGCTTGTTTTGTTTATTTTTTCGGTTTTCAGGATGCCCATGTGGCCAGGAAGGCTTGCGGGAGGAGCATTCCCACCAAACCTTACTATACACAGGTTTGTTCGTCATTTGGGTCCGGGAAACGACCAACCCCTATTATACACTGCTTTTTGTTTCATATTTTTGGTTTTCCATGAGGCCCGCTGATGCTGGCCAGGCTCACTTCGTGGACCTCCTGAAAACCAAACAAACAAACTAAAAAGTTTGTATAATAGGTTTGGTGGTATCGCCGACAAAAAACGAAAACACATGTGCATAATAAGGTTTGGAGGGCATGCTCCTCCCGCGACCTTCCTGTCCAAGCTTGCGGGCCCCTCGAACACTCCAAAACATAAAAACAATTTGTGTGTAGTAGGGTTTGGTGGCACCACCGACCAACAATGAAAAACAACTGTGTATAGTATGGGTCCAGTGTCTCCGGAGCTATTCGCCGCCAGACAACAATGCCTCCCTTCATCTCTGTTTCGGCCATTATGTTCGTCCCTTTTTTTTAGTTTGTCTTTCTCTCTGTGTCCCTCACACAGATGCGAAGGAGGAGGAGACGGAGGAGGAGGAGGAGCAGTAGGAGGAGGAGGAGGAGAGAGAATATTTCCATTTCTCTTTCTCTGTGTCAACCAGATGTCTCTTCAATCTCGATGGATTCTTACGCATATGCCATATCTCTCTCTCTCTCTTTTGTTCTCTCTTTCTCTTACCGTCTCATTCGGCGTTTCTCTTGCCTCCAACACACTGAGAAGAAGATTTCCTCCTGTCGTGCGTATGTGTCTGGTAAGAGGGTACTGATCGTTCCGTGTGTATCGCTTTCTTTTTCAAAGACATACCCTCCGATCAACAAGTACAGGCCCCCTGTCTCTCAACATCGCTTGGCTTCTTTTTTTGTGTCGTTTTGATTCGTTTTGTATCTCTCACCCTCTCTTCCTCCTTTTCCACGTCCAGAGACGTGCTTAGACCCACAAGCGTATGACAAAGAGGCGGAACCATGAAAAAGGGTTTCTCCCTATCTCTTCTCTCTACGCGCGCTCTCTCTCTCTCTCTCTATCTCTCTAGATCTCTCTTTCATGTATGTGAAAAAAGAGGAGGGGGAGAAAGATAATAACCACTTGGATGTTACGTTAATTGCTTCCATGTGGATATATCTTGACACCCTATCAGGGCGCAGTAAGGATACATCGGGTATAGTCTGATCCATTCCTGATGACGTCCTATCCGGGTCTTAGTTAGATGCAATGGGAGTCTTCTGGCTTTGGGATCTGCTCCGCAACTATTCAGAGGAAGAGGACGACGATCATGACAAGGTGCAACGCAAGGACCTGAAGCAATACGATGAATTTGATATTGGTGATCATGAGGTAGTGGATCGGATGTGGAAGAGGATCGTCAGGTAGATGTGGACGAGGACGGAGAGGATGGATGGGGGGCGACGTGGGGATCAGCAGCACAACGGCGAATCCTCAACGCTATTATCCTGCAGCTCTCCCGCGCCTCCCTCCTCGTATCACTCCTCCTCGTCCTCCTCGTCCTCTTTTTGCCGATTGCAAAAAACGCCATCGTCATCATCACAACCACCACCATCATAATCATCATCATCATCATCATCATCATCATCATCATCATCATCATCATCATCATCATCATCATCATCATCATAATCATAATCATGACCATCGTCGTCGTCGGCGTCGTTGACATCGTCTGCTACGCCTCCACGTCCGCTTGTACTGGCGCGCTGGGCTACCATATGCCTAGGTGTGGCTGTTGGAGGGCGACGGGGCGCGCTGCGGGACCAGTTTTCTGCGGCGCTTGCCGGGCGCGGCTGCGCAGGGACGAGGCGCTGAACTGCGACGCGACTCAACGTTGCCATCGATCATCTTCGCCCCCATCATGTCGGCAGTCCCCCTCGCCATAAACACATCCTTCTCCTCGGCCGCCGCTTCTTCTCACAGGAGGGGTAGGAGCGCGGGGGGGAGGAGTTCACGGAGGAGGGGGGCTGAGGAGGAACGGGGGAGGAAGAGGATGAAGTGGGGGTCGCGATGGAATGACGATGGTGGGGACTATGAGGATGATGGGGTCGAGGAAAAGATGGTTGAGTGTAGGAGGAGGAAGGAAAGAGGATGGATAAGAGAACGCGCAGGATCAGGAGATGGAGGTGGACGACGACGAGGGCGGAGGGGGATGAAAGGGGGGCGACGCGAGGACCAACGCAACACGATGAGGAAAATGACGCTGACCGCGAGGATGCGGACAAGGTGTGGAAGAGGACCGGGAGGAAAAGAGGGTCGGGGGGTGATGTGGTCGAGGACGGGGAGGCGGGGCGGAGAGGCGACGTGGGGATCAGCGGCAAGACGGACGAGGGCGAGGAGGACGACGATCACGAGGACGCAGGGGATGATCGTCACGAGGACACAGGGGATGATCACGATGGCCAGGATGAGAATAATTCTGCAGAGGCGTCCCCTTTTCTATCTCTCATCTTCACTGCGACCATGCCATTTACCCCCCTCATCATCAGATCTGTCTCCTCGTCCGCTTCCTCTGCTCATAGGCGGGGTAAGGGCGGAAGGATGCGAGGAAATGAGGGATGAGAGGTGGGCGCGCCTCCGAAGCTGAGGTTGGTTTAAATGTTCGTGCCTTTGGTTGGAAGATGAGCGTGCGTGCGAGGTAAAGCGCGATGGTGATGACGAGATGATGGGTTTTGATACAATGACGATGATGGGGATGATAGGGGGCGATGAGGATGATGGGGGCGAATACATGGATGACTGAGGGTGGGAGGAGGAAAGAGACAGGATGGATGAGATAACGCGAAGGATCAGGTGGAAAAGGGGGAGGACGACGACGAGGACGGAGGATGATGAATGGGGGGCGATTCGAGGACCAGTAGCAGTGCGATGAGGATGACGATGGCCGTAAGGATGCGGATAAGGCTTGACAGAGGACTGGGAGGAAGATGTGGACGAGGACGGAAACGGAGTGGGGGGCGACCTGAGGATCAGCAGCAAGACGGACGAGGACGAGGGACGATGATCAGGATGACGATGGGGATGAAAACCAATAATACCATCATGATGGTAGAGGGGACGGTGTTCAGGATGAGGCCCACGCTGCAGCAGAGAAACCATTAAGATAGGTAAGGAAATGGACACGAGGATAGCAATACGGCAGCGGCTTCCTCCCTTTACGTTTCAGCATTGCCATGATCATGTCATTTGCCCTCCTCATCGTTCGATATGTTTCCTCGTCCGCTTCCTCTACCCATAGGAGGAAAGGGCGGAGGGAAAAGAGGAGAGGAAGGAGGAGAAGAGGGCGCCGCTCCGAAGCCGAGGTTGGTCTTAAATGTCGGGCCCGCCGTTGTAAAATGAGCGCGCAGATGAGGTAAATCGCGATGGTGATGACGGGGATGATGGGCATTGGG